TGGCCTCCCTCCTGAGTGTGGGGAGAAGGACCGACACATCACTGCGTCCGGGGTCACATAAAGTCTCATCAGATCTACGAAGGTCCGCAAATGGTCAAGCGAATCCGTGACTCTGTCATATGCTTCTATCATGGGTTGTTTGAAGCCTTTAGGTAAGGGGACCACCATGATCTCATGTGCAAACGGGTCTTCCTCCAAAATCATCTGCCTCCGCTTATCCTTCCTCTTGGATAGTGCATCATCTATCTTCTGGGCCATCATTTCTTCCATCTTTCATTCCAGGTCCACTATGGGTCACGAGGGCTGCTGAGCTAAGACCACTAGAGCCCTCAAATCTCTCGTCGCTTGCCGAGCGATGGATGGAACAACCGCGGGTGGCGCTTGAGGCGACTGCTGGTTTGTCACTTCCGTTGGGCTCAATGGAGAGACCGCGGCTCTCTGCAACTGGCTTTGTAAGAGCGCCATCATTGTTGTCAACTGAGTCTCCAATTGCATCACATACTGCGGGGCGGCAGTGGTTCGTGACCCCTTGCAACTGACTCCGACTCCATCTCCGCCTTATTCCCAACCAAACGAGTATCACTCCTTGTTCGTCTTCTCGACATAGCTATTTAGTTCAAATGTTCCCACAGACGGCGCCAATGAATTAGTTAAGGAAAGAACCTCCGTGCCCTCCTGGCAGTATAGGGTGCTTCTGCAGTTCCGATGACCAATTGTTATCTACAAAAGTGAGGTCGAGGCTTTCTCACCCCTTGTACCTTCGGCGTGAGAATTAGTATCGAATTACGGAGAGTTAGGAAAGGAGAAAGAAGATATTCAAATAGCCAAGGTTTTTCCAAGATTTTTACCTGTTTCGCCTTTTGGAGTATCTATAGGCGATTGGAGTCATGTGAAGGCCGGACGATCATGGTGCCACGTGTCCCACATAACCTCTTCTACTGTTCCACGTTCTTAGTGGGTAACCTCCGACCATTCAACTGCTAGTCATGTTCGTAACAACCATCGCGTGACCTCTACCCAATTTATGATTTTTGGCTAAGTATTGTATTGATCGTGTAGTGGTAATGAGCCTCATGGTAGTCGATGGTCCAGATAGGATGTAGAGTGCCCATGGCGGTCGACGTCCTGACATAGGTATAGAGTGCCTAGGGGGTCGATGTCTCGGCATGAGTGTAGAGCGTCCATGGGGGTCGATGTCTTAGCATGGGTGTTGTATGCCCACGAGTGGTGTAGGCTAGCGGCGAAACCCATATCTTGTCAGTTGTTGTAGGTAATTAGCGATGTCCAATATCAGCATAAAGGTCAAATGCAATAAAGATTCAATGCTTTTCACCATCGAGAACGAGTGTGTTTTATAGGGAGATGGAATGTTATGAAAAATCCTTGATGTTCTCAAATTTTGCGTCTAAGTCGTACTTAAAGAATCTGAATATTATATGCATATAGCTATCATTAGTTTTTCTTAGGAGATTAGTGTTTATCAATTTACATAAAAGTGACAAAGTCCCTGTTTGACAACCATTTAAAAGAAATTCTTTTTTTTTAAACTCATTTTTAATTAAACATTCTAACAATAAAAATATTTTTGCACATAAATCAAAAAAATTTCCTACTTTTTAAATACATATTTTTCAAAAAATCACTATTTCAAAACTCCTTTTAATGATTCTCAAAAAGGGCTTGATATTGGATACCATTGATAATTGCCTATAACAATCAACAAAGTGAGGCCCTCTATGCCTAGGGTGGGCCACCGACCCCCATGGGTGCTTTACGTCTATGCCTAGTCGTCAACTCCCATGAGCACTTTATGTTAGGCTATCGACTCCCATGGAAATTCTACACCTATACCAGCCCGTTGGCCCCCATATTTATCATGAGATTCAAGTAAAGAGTGCCATAGTTACCCTCAACATATTTAAACCATCTCCTTATGTGTTCAATTGAACATTCCATTTATCGATGAAACCAAAAATACCATTTTACTTACTACTAGTCAAAGTTGAACGTGCATTACACGTTATTCTAAAATACTTTATAAGTGATGTAAAAGTAATATTTGGTACCAATTTGTTGGAGGATTTGATAAGTTTCGAAAGAATTAAAGAATACATAAAAATTAATTGTTAATACATGAATTTAAACACTCATTAAATTTCTAAATACATGAATATGAATAAATTCATCTATAATAACTCTAAACTCGTGTAATTCAAGATTCATCAAGTGAAAATTCATTGAATCTAGGTTAATATGAATGTTAATTAATTGAGAATTAATAACAAAAATTTCATGAATGACAATAATTCTTTAGTATTTATTACATTTCGAAAAACGAAAAGTATGATATTATTGAAATAATTGAATTGTAGGGGGTAAAATTGTCCAAAAATAATTCTCCATTAATGTGATATTTTAATAAACTAGTCAAAGTTGAACTTGTATTGCACTTTATTCTAAAATACTTTATAAGTAATGTAAAAGTAATATTTGATACCAATTTGTTAGAGAATTTGATAAATCTCGGACGAATTAAAGAAAATAAAATTTAGCATAAAAATTGGAGAGAAGAAAATTGTATTCAAATTGTACTTTCAAAACTCAATTTCTATAATTCAAATTTTTTGTAATGATGAAATATTATAAATGAGCAATCTTTTTATATTATATTTGATACATAAATATTAATTATTAATACACAAATTTAAACATCCATTAGATATATGAATAAATTCATTTAAAATAGCTCTAAATTCATATAATTTAAGATTCATCAGGTAAAAATTCATTGAATCTAAATTAATGTGTATGTTAATTAATTGTGAATTGATAATACAAATTTCATAAACGAAAATAATTATGTAGTATTTATTACATATCAAAAAACAAAAAGTAAGATATTATTAAAGTAATTGAATTGTAGGGAGGTTAAAATCGTCCAAAAATAAATCTCACTTAATGTCATAGATCAATAGATTATAGATTTGCCGACACGAAACAATAAACGAGTGATGCTTGCAACTGTAGAATAGTTCGTTGGAGGGCATGAGAAGGCTCGCGTCAAACCGCCATTTTTTTAAATTAAATGCGTCTCACGTGCGTGCACGGTGTTATCACGTGCAATTCATGAACCCCGTCTGCAAAGTGACTATAGGTGAGAAACGTGTAAGAAATGAAGGGAGAAAAATACACGTGCCTTCAATTCGCTTCCAGCTCCACTTCCAATTGTTATTTTCCCTTTAACTTTAAATATATTTTAGAACTAGTTTAAATTATAGTCCCGTTTGCCCCATTAAATTAAATTTTATTTTTATTTTTCTTATTTTCAATTTCACAACCCTCAATAAAATAATATTACATATAAATCGAAATTTTTTTATTCTTTTTCAACTACTCATTCTTCAAAAAAAACTATTTTACTCATTTTAATTTGAAGAAATGGAGGGCAAACGGGACATAAAATAATGTTATCTAAGGGTC